GCGGGGTATAACTGTTGTGGAAATTTTTTACATAATTTCCTAAATGTAGAACATATAAATAAATAATAATTGTGTAATAAAATATGATGCTGATTTGACCCTTTTGAGAAATTTCGAGTGAGGGGAGTGTAGAAGAGCTGTGGAGTGACACTGGGGGAGGGGGGGATGCCATATTGAATCTAATGTGTGAGCACTGGATGGAGTTGTGCAATGTAAGCAATCGTTTTTGAAGGTCAATTGGAGTTTTTTGGCCTGAATTTGTAATTAGGAACCCGTGTTAATGTCCCCTGCTGCAGAATTGTGAAAGGAAATTTGCAGGACCTCAAGAATTACATGTGGATGGCAGAAAATGAGGGATGTAAACATTACTCACGGGGGAAATGCACCATTAGTCCTTGCATTAGATCTCTAGCTGGCCAGTGTAGGGTCTAGGTGTTAGGCAGGTGGTGTGGTATGATCTGTCTTCCCAGCAAGCCTAATTTTATGCAGTCCACAACTTTAATATACCAGAGTAGCTGGTTTTAATATTATAATTATTAATTTAATGTCAGGTCTAGCTTTTTGTGAGAATGGTAGGGAGTGGACCTCAAGGAAGTGACAGTTTGGCAACCTGCTGTGACTAAGTCCCACTTACCTCACCAAAATTACTTGCAGATAATAATTCAGGTAATGCCCTGTAAGCCTCATGCAGGTAATTTACTCATGTAATAATAATTTTCACAACCGTAATGGGAAGATCAGAACGAGCCCATGGTTCACTTAAAATGTAGAGAGGCCAAAACTAAGTGCACTAGAAAATGGAAAAAATATAGAAGACAAAGGACCCAGGAAAATAAAGAAATTAGTTGAAGGCCAGAAACGAATATGCACGGGTAAGGAGGGAGGACCAGCTACAATACGAAAACGACGTAGCATTGTAAGGCATTGTACAGCCACATGATGAGATTTGTAGTGATACTTATTTGGTGATATTTGTAGAGATAATTGTAGTGATGATATCTGTAGTTGTGGAAAATAATGTATTTTCCGGAAAAAATACAGTGTATTTTTTATGTAAATTAGTGTAATACATTGTATTTAATAACATTTATGTCATAAAAAATTGGAAATTTTCTGTGCCTGCACAGAGGACTCTCGCCATTGTTGTTTGAATTGGACACAAACGTTAGTGAATAATGTGAAGAATTTTCATGCTCTAGAGGTAAAATTGGCTGACACCCCTCAAATAGGAGCCGAAATTGTTGGATGTGCATTCCTGCATAACTTGAGATATCAGGCGACTGGACAAGACAGCTCCAGGAACCTCAGATAAGTTGGTTTATGTTTGTAACTCTGGCCAGTGTTATTTTCATGGATAGACAGTGAGGTTTTCTGAGTACAATACACCTTAATCCCCAGTCAAATTGGTGAGTGATATTAAGATATATTCTCCTTCTATTGTATAAATGTGTGTATAAATATCATTAATTTTAATATACAGTCCACCAATTTATATATTTACCAGAATTCCTGGTGATGCATATTTCATTTGTAATTAATAGGTCTAGAGCAACTTGTGGATATGACAGTTGTAGGTATCGAAGGGGGACATTTTTTGCGACCTAGGTGTCCCAAATTCCTACTTGTCTATGTAACTTTGATAGATAATAATTGTCTTTGTTACCATTTACTTGTATGTATGTAATGAGATTCATCCAAGTGAATGCAATTTTCCACAGTAGTGATGACATTTGTAGTGATGATACTTGCAATGGTGATATTTGCAGTGATGATATTTGTAGTGGTACCTTTAGAGGTTATACTTGTAGTGGTAATACTTGGGGTACTTGTAGTGATAATACTTGTGGTACTTGTAGTGACAATACTTGTAGTATTTGTGATAATACTTGTGGTACTTGTAGAGGTAATACTTGTGATACTTGTGGTAATTACCTGGAGTTTACCTGGAGAGAGTTCCGGAGGTCAACGCCCCCGCGGCCCGGTCTGTGACCAGGCCTCCTGGTGGATCAGAGCCTGATCAACCAGGTTGTTGCTGCTGGCTGCACGTACACCAACGTACGAGCCACAGCCCGGCTGGTCAGGAACCGACTTTAGGTGCTTGTCCAGTGCCAGCTTGAAGACTGCCAGGGGTCTGTTGGTAATCCCCCTTATGTATGCTGGGAGGCAGTTGAGCAGTCTCAGGCCCCTGACACTTATTGTATGGTCTCTTAACGTGCTAGTGACACCCCTGCTTTTCATTGGGGGGATGTTGCATCGTCTGCCAAGTCTTTTGCTTTCGTAGTGAGTGATTTTCGTGTGCAAGTTCGGTACTAGTCCCTCTAGGATTTTCCAGGTGTATATAATCATGTATCTCTCCCGCCTGCGTTCCAGGGAATACAGGTTTAGGAACCTAAAAGCGCTCCCAGTAATTGAGGTGTTTTATCTTCGTTATGCGCGCCGTGAAGGTTCTCTGTACATTTTCTAGGTCAGTAATTTCACCTGCCTTGAAAGGTGCTATTAGTGTGCAGCAATATTCCAGCCTAGATAGAACAAGTGACCTGAAGAATGTCATCATGGGCTTGGCCTCCCTAGCTTTGAAGGTTCTCATTATCCATCCTGTCATTTTTCTAGCAGATGCAATTGATACAATGTTATGGTCCTTGAAGGTGAGATCCTCCAACATGATCACTCCCAGGTCTTTGACATTGGGGGTTTCGCTCTATTTTTTGTGCCAGAATTTGTTTTGTACTCTGATGAAGATTTAATTTCCTCGTGTTTACCATATCTGAGTAATTGAAATTTCTCATCGTTGAACTTCATATTGTTTTCTGCAGCCCACTGAAAGATTTGGTTGATGTCCGCCTGGAGCCTTGCAGTGTCTGCAATGGAAGACACTGTCATGCAGATTCGGGTGTCATCTGCAAAGAAAGACACGGTGCTGTGGCTGACATCCTTGTCTATGTCGGATATGAGGATGAGGAACAAGATGGGAGCGAGTACTGTGCCTTGTGGAACAGAGCTTTTCACCGTAGCTGCCTCGGACTTTAGTCTGTTGACTACTACTCTCTGTGTTCTGTTAGTGAGGAAATTATAGATCCATCGACCGACTTTTCTTGTTATTCCTTTAGCACGCATTTTGTGCGCTATTACACCATGGTCACACTTGTCGAAGGCTTTTGCAAAGTCTGTATATATTACATCTGCATTCTTTTTGTCTTCTAGTGCATTTAGGACCTTGTCAGAGTGATCCAATAGTTGAGACAGACAGGAGCGACCTGTTCTAAACCCATGTTGCCCTGGGTTGTGTAACTGATTGGTTTCTAGATGGGTGGTGATCTTGCTTCTTAGGACCCTTTCAAAGATTTTTATGATATGGGATGTTAGTGCTATTGGTCTGTAGTTCTTTGCTGTTGGTTTTCTGCCCCCTTTGTGGAGTGGGGCTATGTCTGTTGTTTTTAGTAACTGTGGGACGACCCCCGTGTCCATGCTCCCTCTCCATAGGATGGAAAAGGCTCGTGATAGGGGCTTCTTGCAGTTCTTGATGAACACGGAGTTCCATGAGTCTGGCCCTGGGGCAGAGTGCATGGGCATGTCATTTATCGCCTGTTCGAAGTCATTTGGCATCAGGATAACATCGGATAGGCTTGTGTTAATCAAATTTTGTGGCTCTCCCATAAAAAATTCATTTTGATCTTCGACTCTCAGTCTGGTTAGCGGCTTGCTAAAAACTGAGTCATATTGGGACTTGAGTAGCTCACTCATTTCCTTGCTGTCATCTGTGTAGGACCCATCTTGTTTAAGTAGTACTTGTAGTTTTGTTATATTCACAATATCTGTTCTGTCATTACAAAAGTTTGGGTAATGACTCATTAAGTAAACACACCCCAAGTGTTTCCATCCGTACAAGGGATCGAACCACGGACCTCAGTGTGTGAACTGAGTGTGCTACCAACCAAGCTACGGGATATTTAACAAATTTTTCATATTACTCATCGTGCAATTCATTTTCATGTAATTAATTTACTCAGTTTTTGTTCTTATTGTTAGTGATCATATATGATTATTATTGTATCTGTGAAGAAGGCCTGAGCTTGCTATCACCTGCAGCTCATAAGACTGCCATCCCTGCGAGCCCCTTTGGGGTGGGGCAGATGGCAGACCAGAGGCCTAGCTTCTCTCTATGAGCCCCATGAGGGCGGGGACTGTGGCTAGGCCTGGGAACACTTGGTCCCAAAGATGAGGGTGTACTTGTACCTCCTCCCATGGGAGACTTAGGTCTCGAGATACTCCCCAGATTGGGAGCCAAGGCCGGGTCACCACTACTTGGAAAAGACCCGGGCCGGGAGAATACCGGCGAATAAGAAAAAAAAAATTGTATCTGATAGTTAATACAAATATGTAAGATAATTTTATTCACTTTACATAGTGTTAAATATTGCACCTAAATCAACTTACTGGAAGTTGATGATACAGAGGATTATTTATTATAATCAAGGGGAAGAGCTAAACCCGTAGGATTTTACAGTGCCTGTGGGGATGATGGAAAGTATTCAGGGTTAATTCAGGGAACTGGAGCACAGATCCAGTTCCCTGGATCAAGAGCCCCTCACCAGCATCAAGAAACCTTCCTTGAGGAGATGATTCAGAAGAAATTTTAAACAACATTGTAGGTACAGATAATGTTTATTTATATACATCTGTTCCTTTTGTTACATAAATTAAAATATTAATCAATAATATGTTTGAGTGTTAATAATAAGAGAGGATATAATTAATGTTAAAGTGATAATAACAAGAACCAAGAAAATAGTTAATGTTTGTTGACAAACATAATAATATAATATATAATAATAATAAGAACCAAGAAACTAGTTAATGTTTGTTGACAAACATAATAATATATAATAATAATAAGAACCAAGAAACTAGTTAATGTTTGTTGACAAACATAATAATATATAAGAATAATAATAATAAGAACCAAGAAACTAGTTAATGTTTGTTGACAAACATAATAATATAATATATAATAATAATAAGAACCAAGAAACTAGTTAATGTTTGTTGACAAACATAAGAGGCGCCTGACTCGAGTGTTCCAGTACAACACGACAATTATTTATCTTTATTACTCTCTTCTTCAACCACATTATGACTTCAACCAAGTTATTTAGTTTTTAATGCAGTGATCTACACGAGTGACTTTTTTTATGGAATATCCGGCAGAATTGAGCGTGAGCAACAGCAGCAGCAAGTTGATGGGCTGCGCCTCCTAGCATAAGTGAACAATTAAGAAGAATTAGTGTGAGTCTTGGTAGGCCTAGGAGGAGATATGCCAGGTGTGAAGAGAGTGCCAGACAATGAAAGGGACGACCACGAGAGTGAAAAATGAAGATGGAGGACCAAGATTCTGACAGTGATCATAGTTCACTGGACGAGTCTATATCATCTGATGGCACTGAGTCTGATGATTCCTCAGGTAACACACTTATACTTAACAAAAAATAACATAAATGTACTATAATGCTATCCTTTTATTAATTTTTATGTTATCCTGGGAAAATTTTAAACACATTTTCTGCTATGTTTATGAAAACTTTTTAAAATATTTCACGTGTACCGGTAGTTTAAAAAAACTAATTAAGTTTCTGCCCACAAAATAAATTTTATCAATTTTACAAACAATCGGGCCTGGGTAAACAATAACAATATACAATTGGGAGGGGTTAGGGGGAAAAATTGTCGGGGAGGTTAATTTTAGATTGACCTGAAACGGCACGGGCGACTGGTTTATGTGGGAATAAAAAATGAAGTTTCTTGGTAACATTTTTCAAAAAAATAAGTTTCCTGGAAAATTTCCCCAGCGAACTCTTTGCCGGGAACCCTTCATTGCCTCCCTAAAAAAACCCCCTCCCCCATCCCGGTCCCGGTCAGTCCCCAGATTAAACCTCCCAACATTCTCCATGGGACTTTTTCACCACCTTTCCCGTTAGGTGGGGAGGTCTCTCTCTCACCGAGTATCAGTGAAAAATTTTTCCCCCGTTCCTCTGGACGCTTGCCCTTCCCCCTTTTTTGGCCCATCGGGCACTCAAACGGGAGGGGCCCCTTTGGAGGGACCCTTTTTTTCTTTTTGGCTTCTTTAGCCAGCTCCATTTTTTTCTCCTGGGGAAAAATTCTTTAAAAAACCGGTCTTGGGGGGAACCCGGGTTTTTACTGAACCGGGTTTTTGGGGCTTGGCAAGGGGGTCCTTTGGACAAATTTTTGAAAACTATATTTTCTACCCTCTGTTTACCAAAGAACTTTTTTTCCCTTTTTCCCTTCTCATTGCCCCCCCCTTTGGGGAAAACAATTTTTTTCAACCCAAATCAAAAACCCGGGGTCGAAGGGGCGTATGCTGTCAGTGGCCCCTCATAAAAACCCAACAAAGAAAGAAAGACAACAAAAAACATTCCCCAAACCTGACTCTTCACACAATATTCCCTTTAACATATTCTTTACATTTAAATAAAGCCCTTTGGGGTGCTAAAACAAAAATTTCATTTAGGACGGGTCCACAAAATACATTTTACAAAAATTTACCCATAATAAGCTACATATTGTCGATTACCGGGAAAACCCCAGAAAAGTAAATAAAAAAAACCTTTATATTTTTTTTTGGTTAATTTTTTCAAACGGGTCTTAGTATTTTTATGCCTTTATCCCAAACTTGTATTTTAACCTGAGTTTAAGCCCTATTTTCATGATAGTACCACCACAAAACCTCGTTACCCTTTGGGCTCAATTCCCCACAAAATTTCCATATTATTAACACAAAAAAAAAAACCTCCCTCTTTGGGGAAAATTATTTACAATTATCAAAATAGAAACCATAAAAATAAAAATAATAATAAAAATTTAAAAATAATAATAATAAAAATAAAAAATTTAATAAAAATAAATAATTAGTATTTATTGATGTAGCAGCCATAAAAACACTTTAATTAAATTTTATGTAATATTTTTTAATAAATCAACCCAAGAAAAACACAATGATTTTAATTATATATTGTTTTATAAACATAATAAACTAATAAAAAAAATAATTAAATAATTAAATAATGTTAAACTGAACAGCAATGGGGGTTTTGGTTTCCCTTTCATTTAAATTTCGTGTGATTTGAAAAAACTAGTAAAAAGGGGTGAAAAGGTAATATGTTTGCTTTTTCTTGTGCTCAAAAATAAATTAACTATGGGACAGTATGTTTTTAAATTGACAGTATATCTTAGATAGTTTGCACAAAATGCACCCTTGGCAAATAGTTATCAGTAAATCCCTTGGAAAACCGGCAGGATTTGCCCAATTTTTAGTGCTTCCCCATACAACTTTTTTAAACTTAAATACAATGAGTAAAAATTTCTTGTGAAAAGAATTTTTTTGGGAAAAATTTTAAAAAAAGTTTGGTTTTTTGGTTTTTTTTCCCCTTTAAAAGGGTTAATTAGGTTAGGTAACACTTGGCTATGTTCTTGACTGAAAAGTTCCCCATTTTGGTTTTATTGGGAGGCATGAATGCTTCATTGTGCTGAAACCTAAAAAATGCTTTCATTTTTTTATACATCGAAAATAACAATTTGCACAAGAAATTATTTATTTCAGATGTACATTGTTGTATGTGTTGATTTGAAAAAGGTAGAAATGATCTGTTTTCCACCGAGTAGTTTTTTGTAATATTTCTGCATTTTTTTTAAAAATGAAACATCCAGAATTTGGGCATGGTCAGCAGTTAAGACAGATTTCCTTGTGGAAATGAAAAAAAAAATCTAATTTAACTAACCCTTTAATTCCCATTTCCACTTTGGTAAAATTTCTGAGAAAATCACAAAAATTTTGACAGGTTTGAAGGATTTTTTTTATAATTTGCACACTCACTGGCAAACCATTCCCATACTAGGCCAAAAAATTTACCCTTGCAGCTTATCTGATTCGGCAAGCCATAAGTAAAAAAAAACCCCAAAGACTAGTGTTTACTGGTAAAAATTTGGAAATTTAAACCCTTTTACTGCCCAACCAGACCCCAAAGTTAGGTCTTGGGTCAATTTAGCATTGGGGGATTTTGCCCTTGAGTCCCATTTTAAGCAAATTATTATTTTTTTATTATTTTTTTTATCCACTGGGCCCATTCCACCAAGGCAGGGTGGCCCGAAAAAAAAAACTTTCACCTCAATTCTTTATTCAATTTGACCAAGAAACCACCCATTCATCTATTCACTTAACCTATACAGTGCACAAAGTTGGGAATTTGCCCTAAAAACAGCATAGACATTTTTTGGGATTAAACTTTCCCTTTTTTTTTTCCATCTGCAGGGTTCTCCAACAGGGGGCCCCCCCACATCAATATTAACCCTTCCTGGAGCCATTGAAAGTCTAAATACGAAAGTGAATTTAATTTCCCCCATAAGAAATAATGGGAAAACAAATTAATCTGTGCAAGACACCCAAAAAAAAAAAAAAAAAAATTTACACTGAAAATAAAAGTTTAAAGCAATAGAATAATTTACAAAACAATAGATTAATAACATAAAAATTTACACTAACCCCTTTTAAAAAATCGGTGAATTATGGGATGGGAGGGGGAGATGGGATGGTGATTTTTAGAAGGGGAACCCCTTCCATTAGGGTTTTAGTACAAGTCTTTTTTTGGGGTTACTTCCCTTCTTTTAATGCCCCAAGGACCACTGAGAGTCACTTAAATTTTGTTGCACAACATATCTGTCCATAGAGGCCTGTACCCCATTCCTTTATGATTTTCCTAAAGTGGTTCACAACATTGTCAGGAAATGGTCACCAGCACTAGAAGCTTTCTTGGGGGCCCGGTTTTTTTATTTTTCGAAAAAAGCACCCAAAAAAAGGATAATAGGATAAAAGGAAAGTACCGAAGATCCTTTGATGGCCACTGGGTGGGTTTTTAAACAAGGCACCATGGGGCAGTTCAGGCCACCGGACCTCTCGTCGAATCGATCGAAAGGGGTTTTGATTGAACTCGAGGAAAATTTTTGCGTTAAAAAGCTCGATGTCGGGTTTATCAATGTCGATGCCCCTCGAATATCGGGTCAATGTATTAACTTACCTTCCATTTTGAATTCTCATTCACAAAAATAGAAGATTTACATTACTCTATTTTCTGGATAATTAATTATAACCAGGAAAGATTGGTCATGATTTACATCATCCCAGTAATTGAATCAGATCTATTTAAAACCCATTAAGCAAACTTGGGGTTTTAGGAGGGCCTTTCCCCTTCTCTTTAATTTCGACAAAAATAAAATGCAGTGGACCCCCTTTTTCATAAATTTAATCTTTCCCGAGGTGCAAAGTGAATTTGACGATATCCAAATCCATTTTCCCCATAAGAAATAATGTAAATCCAATTAATCCATCCCAGACACCCAGAAGTATTAGAAATATTTTTTTTTTACATGAAATAACATTTCCCACACAGAAACAATAACATAAAAGGATAAAAAAATAAAAACATGAATTATCTTTTTTGAAGACTTTTTGATGTATGGAAGACGGGAGGGGGGGAGAGGAGGGAAAGTTCTATTTTTTTGGGAAAGGGAATCACCTCCCATAAAGACTTCAGTTTAAAACCCTTTTTCTGGGTTTTGCTTCCCTTCTTTTTTTTTTTAATGCCCAGGCCCACTTGAGATCACAAACCCCCTGTCACCAAAAATTGTTCCCGGAGCTCTTTTTCTGGCGTTTCCCTAAAATGGGACACAATAGTCTTTGACAAGTTGCCAAACAGCCTGTAACAGCTTTGTCGGGTATTTTCATCCAAAATGTTTGCGCCTTACTCCACTTTCCCAAAAAAATTGTCCTTAATCTTTGAAAAAGGCACCTTCTTCCTCTCTCTTTTCCCCCCCTCTAAAGCATTTCTGAGCTGTGGTCGTTGCTGTTGCAGATAAAGGGGCTTGCAGCTCTTCGGGGTTAGCTTTCATTGGGCCCCTCCACCAACTCTCCCCACCCTTGACACTAACATCCAACCCCATGGAATTTCCCCCAATGCCACAATACTTTCCACAACTGCCATAGGGTTGTCAGGGTCAGCCCCAAACCCTTAAAAATCCTTCTCTTGGACACATTCTGGCCACAGTTTTCTCCAAGCAGAGTTCAAAGTTTTGGATAAGGTTGCTTTAGTGGCTGAAATTTCTTTTGGACTGTTTTTAAATTGGAATTTGTTGAATTTTGTGTAAAATGGAAAAATTATTGACTTCTATGTACTTCCTGGGGAGTTCTGATAGTTTAAAATAGGACTCAAAGTGGGCAAAATTGCCAATGCATAAATTGTGCCCAGGCAGCCAACTTTGCACCTGCGTCATTGTGTTTTCTGTGAAATTTTGCAATTTTAATGTCATTACCTTCAGAAAAAGAATCTACAATTTCAGAAGATAAAATTATTATTATTATTATTTTTTTTTTTTTGAAGAGTCATGACTGTCATTTAATTTTAGGGGGTTGCAACAATGAAAGGGTTAAATTTGTGGTTCTTGAACAGTCTCCACCTAATAAATTTGAGTTCTCTATACATATATATAGAGTGATCATACACAAAGTATGAATGCATTTGGGAAAGCTAACTTTTGTAATTCAATTATAGAAATTAGAGTGATAAAAATACACCTGTGTGATAGGTAGGTCACGATCAGAGCAAAAAATGAATTGTGAACCGGCAGAAACACTGACTAGAGGTGGTATAGGAGAGGACCTGCAGTATAGGCTTTTTATAATGTATTCATATCCAACTTAGTTTGTCAACAAGGTGATGAGAGTTAAATAACTTCCTTGCTTATAGCTGCTTGAAGCAGTCGACCATTGACTCTCACAAGGACAGGTTGTCTGCTCCTTACGTATTATTGTATGTACTAAACTCTCTCACAAACTTTTGACACTGATTCTTTTTTGGATTAGCTGGATATTCTTTCCAGCACTGATGATGGACAAAGACTTTAGACTTGTTGGTGAACTCTGTTGCCAGTTCAGCTAGTAGATTCCCTTTCTGCTAATGGACTTTGTCACATTATTGTCTGTATGGGGAAACAGTTGATGTTTCCTTTAGGCCTTGTTAAGTTTATTCTATTTATGCGATAGAGTGTGGACATTGTACTCAGTTGGCTCCAGGTCTTGGTGTTATGAAGATGTTCCACTCCATACCCACTGGCTGACAAATCACAGCTACTTTCTTTACACATGTCTTTTTGTGGAAGTTTGCCATTTTCCTGAGTGATGGAAATAAATGGTATAAAATACCAACACAATGGAAATATAAACACTTAAGCAGTATAATGTGATCCTTTATTGACAACGTTTCGCCCATGCAGTGGGCTTTATCAAGTCACAAACAGGTCTGATCAGATCTGTTTGTGACTTGATAAAGCCCACTGTGTGGGCAAAATGTTGTTGATGAAGGATCACATTATACTGCTTAAGTGTCTATATTTCCTGAGTGATTTAGAAATTGTCTCCTGTGATGCTTGTAGTCTGTTTCTGCATTTTTTAATGATCTACTAAACTTAATTTCTTCAGACTTCACTTAATTTATGCAGGCTTGATACAATCTGTTGTGTGTCAGTGTATATATCTGTGATGGGACACTGCCAGTTTTCATATGATTACTATAGTATGTTAGTGTTTGTTATACTTGCAGAATTGGACGAGGAGGAATGTGATAGACGGCGAGGGGAATATCTCACAGATCTCTCAGATTTGGAACGGCAATTTTCTTTGCTCAGAGAACAGTAAGTAAATTCTTTTTAGCCAGTAATCTAGTTGTAATCTTATTTCCCAGCTGTATCTGAAGGATATCTGAAGCATGCTTCTGGGGATCAATGCCTCTGTGGCCTGACCCCAGACCTGGTGGATCAAGGCTTGATCTACTAGCCTGTTACTGCCATCTGCATCTAGCTCAATTTATACAACAGTCTGGCTAGTCAGGAACTGATTGGAGGAACTTGAAGACACTCAGAGATTTGTTGGTTATTTCCCTTATCCATGGAGGGAGGGTGTTGAAGAGTCAAGAACTTCTTGACAGTGTACTCATCAAACCTTTGCTTTTTATTGGATGTATTTCACACTGGCAAATCTCTTATTGTTATTCAGGGTGATTTCAATGTGCAGGTTTGGGACTAGTCCCTCCAGGAACTAGTCCCAAACCTGCACATGTACATACCTGCACACAACATCTTTTTTACCTCTGTCCCAAGGAATACAATTTAAGATGCTTCAAGCATTCCCAGTAGTTCAGAGGCTTGATTGAATGTAGAATGGCAATGAAAGTTCTATGTATGTTTTCCAGCTGAGCAATCTCTCCTGCCTTGAAGAGGGCCATTAGTGTACATTAGTTGTCTAGCCAGTTTTGAAAGTTTAAGTCATTCAGGATATCATTTTCCTTGCTGCAGCAATGGCATTGTTGTCATCCTTGAATGTAAGAGCTGAAATTATTACACTTAAATCTCATGCATGAAACTTCCATTTTATTAACCCTTAAACTGTCCGCACGTAGGTCTATGTTCACGTGCGGCGGGCTCCAAATGTAGATCAACGTTTTATTTTTCATTCCTTCAAATTTGGTGCGATAGGTTTGATTTGCCTATACATGAAAGAATGGGTCTGTGCACTCAGTGTGCACATTATGAAAAAAATTGGGGACCACTAAGTACTTTGTGGGAGCACCAGTTCAATTGAGCACCAGCTAGAGCAAATAGCATGGCAAACACCAGTGATTCACTGATGTCATGTCATATTACACTCACTCTTTAAGAGGAAAGTAAAAAATAGGTTAGATAAATGCATGAGTGGGTGTGGGTGGGTGTGAGTTGGACCTGACTAGCTTGTGCTACTGGGTCAGATGTCGTGCTCATTCTTTCAGTGGATGTGACCTGACTAGGTGAGTCATTGGTCTAAGCTGGGAGGTGACATGGACCTCCCTTGCATGGGTCAGTAGGCCTGCTGCAGTGTTCCTTCTTTCATATGTTCTTATGTATTCGGCTGGCTGGCTGGTTGGCTTTAGCTGTCTCTATCTGTCTATAACTCTGTCTATCTGTCTATCTATATCTCTATCTATCTGTATCTGTCTGTATCTCTGTCTCTCACATGTACTCATAAATACAGTTATTATACACAATGTAAATTACCTAGGATAACCCAAAAATTCCAGGCCAAATGCTATACAGTGTTTGTAGATCTTTCATTTTTCTTTCAACGTACCAGCCGTATCCCACTGAGGTGGGGTGGCCCAAAAGGAAAAACAAAAGTTTCTCCTTTCAAATTTAGTAATATATACAGGAGAAGGGGTTATTAGCCCCTTGCTCCCGCCATTTTAGTCGCCTCTTATGACACCCATAGCTTACGGAGGAAGAATTCTGTTCCACTTCCTCATGGAGTGTTTGTAGATATAAGACATAAATAAATATGATGCAAATAATAGCAGTGTCACTTGCTCAGCAGTAGGGAGCGGCACATAAACCACAAACCAACAGGTTTACAAGCCGCTCCATGAGACATAGACAAGCAGATGGAAAGACAGACACACAGACAGACAGAAAGACAGATAAGCAGAACTAGACAGATAGATAGACAAACTGACAGACAGGTATACAGAGACATGTTTGTGTGCAAAAGTAAAAACATATAAAGGCAAGGTTCCCTCCAGCAAGGCACATTCTGACCCTTGCCATAACACCATTCTTCAAGGAGTTTCATACTCCAGCGTGTCTAAAACATTGCTGGGACCTATAAATACTTTGTATATATTTTTAGACAATAGTAAATAACCAGGGCAGGTGAAAATGTTCACCTGTCAGTGTGATTGTTACTATTTCAGTACATAATATTAGTGTCAGAACAAAGATTGGCTATGAAATCACAAAAACTATTATAAATTTTAAATATCAGAACAAAAATTATATAAATTAAAATAAAAATAAGAAAAAAAAGGTAAATCGGCAACGTGTCTGCAAGTGGAGGACGGGATGTTCCCGGGCCCAGGTGAGCATCCGGAAAAACTTGTGCTCTTACCTGGGAAAGTACGGTCCAATATTTTTTGGGGGGTTTTATACCACACGAAAAGGGCCCTCTTTATTTAAAAAAAAAAAAAAAAAACGATTTTTTGTTTTTTTAAAAATATTCGGGTGCCCGCAGAGAATGTAATCTACGTTAAAAACATTTAAAAGGGTTAAATGTTTGGTTTGCCCTGTAGTGCTACCATCTTTATTTTCTTTCATTCTTCCTTAGCGGAGAAACAAAACTTGTCCTGGTTAACCCCTTTAACCCTAAAGGCCCAAAGTTATAAGTGGCCCCCCGCATAGCGAACGCCTTCATAGCGAACAATCTAAAGCGGACGTTTTGTTCCAAAAATTTTGCCCCGCATAGTGGACAAAAAACCCGCTCCGGCCTTCGTCCGAGAGGGTCCAATTGGCCCCCCGCCACCCTCCATGTCCGCCCGTCCCTTTGTTTACCGCCAGCCCCGCGGTAACTTCAACATACACTGGGGAATATTTCGTTTTTACAGTGTTTCTGCGTTTGGGGGAAAAAAAAATGACCATGGCCCAAAAAGCTTCTAGTGCCCCCCTAACCTCAAAGGGTAGAAAAAACCCTTTTGAAATGAGAAAGAGATCATTGAAAATTTAAAAAAGGGGAGTACGTATCACCGACCGGGTCATTTTAAAGAAACCAAAATCAACCACTCTTCTATTGGGCAAGAAAAGGGCAATAAAGGAAGTTTTGTTCCCAAAAGGGGTTTAAAAACTGTGTTTTCGAAACAAAGACGAAAAGTGAGGGAAAATGTTTGAGAGATTTATTGGGGGATAAATAAAAAAACGCTAGAGGAGATAGCGTCTCTCAAGCGATCATAGGGAAAAAGGTAGGAATTGCATGACGTTTTAATTAAAAAAATGCCTGCAACTGTGATATGTGAGTGAATTTAAGGCCAGCAAAGGTAGGTTTGAGAGATTTAAAAAGCGAGTGGCATCCATAGGGGGATACGGCAGGGTGGGCGCCATTTCGGACCACAAAGCGGCTGAAAAATATGTGCTGAATTAAGGGGTCATAACATAAAGGGACTGGAACCTGAACAAGTGTTTAATTGTGAGAAAACACCCTTTTTTTCTGGAAGAAAATCCCAAAACGGGACCTACTTATCAGGAGGAAAAAGGCACTCCCGGACTAAGCCTAGAAAGCGGCTTCTTTGTTGAGTGTGCCAATGCAGTGGGTTGAAAAGTTAAAGCCTTTATTAGTGTATCCCCTTAAAAACCCCCAGAGCGTTCGGGCCAAAAAAATGTCCTCAAGGATAATTTGTGTGTGCGGGGAGGGCAAACAGTAAGGGCATGGGTCACTAGGGAATTTTTCATAACGGGTTAACCACATTTCCCCCCCAATGGAAAGATTACCTAACTGAAAAGAAATTAGCCCTTTAAGGCCTCCTGGGTTAGACAACCCCCTGGTCATCCTACAGACGGGCAGACGACTTATGGGACGAGTTCATTAAGGGAAGTTTTTCCCTCCTAATACCACCCCTCTCCTGCAGCCCATGGCCCAGCAGGTCATTTCCCAATTTAAAAGAAAGCACAAAAGTTTGTTTTAAAAAAGTGCTTTGAAGTGACCACAGACCAACTCGATTGACCAAATAGAGTTTTGGAAGGACCCACTTTAATATCCCAATTGTGTAAACTTATAGTAAGGCTTGGGAGGGAGGACTAAGAGAACCTTAAAACTCGCTTGGAAGAACTGTGGCCAGAATGTGTAGACAAAAGGGATTTTGAAGGGTTTGAGGCTAACCTGAGAGGAGTATATACCAGTTGAGGAATCAATTGTGGTATTGGGGAAGTCCTGGGGTTGGAGTAGTGGGGAGGATGTGGAAGAGTTGTGGAGGAGCACAATGAAGACTAACACTGATGAGGAAAGATCAACTTCAAGAGCAAGAGGCCAGACCTGGGGAAACTGGTTCAAAGGAGGGTAGAGACGAAATGAAGGAATTGCTATCAAAGATTAAGAAATGTGTGCAAAAATGGCTTGAAGTGCAAACCTTTTGATGAAAATCACCCTCCAAACAGCTATTGCAAGCTGCTGGTGACTGTCAATGACACTGTGTGAACCACTTTAGACAAATCTAAAGAACGAGAGGTACCAGGGCCACTGGACAGTTATGTTGTGGAAAGAAGTCCAGTGACTTGAAGCTGGTCTAGTGGCATTAAAAGAAGAAGGAAGTAACCACCAGAAAAGGACTTTACCTCAAGTCCTAATGAAGGGATATCCCCTTCTAAACACTAACACTTATCTCCCTTCCCATCATCAACCAGATCCTTCAATAAAGTAAGGTGTCATGAATTGTGCTGCCTTTTTCAGTTTGTGTGTACTAAATTACATTTTTTGTGGTAAAAAAAATTTTTTTTCATACTTTTGGGTGTCTTGCACGGATTAATTTTATTTCCATTATTTCTTATGGGGAAAATTAATTAGCATGCGAACATTTCGCATAACGGCCAGCCCTTGCACGGATTATTAGTTCGCTATCTGGGGTCACTGTATACTTTTTACCGCTAGTGTCCCAAACGTATATATACGTTTTATTTTTTCTGCCTTCAAATTTGGCACAATTGACCCGAGATGCCTTGTCAGCACTGAATGGGTCCTAACACTCAGTGTGTGCGGTATTAAAAAAATCTGGGACCACTTAGTACCTTGTGGAGCACCGAGTTCAAATGAGTGCCTGCTAGAGCAAACATGCAGCCAAAACCTGGAT